CGGAGCGCCCCCCGGAGGCGCAGCGGCAGGCGTGCCGCGATGCCCGATGCTTTGCCCGCGTGGAGCCGGCGCACAAGTCCCGCATCGTTGAGTACCTCCAGTCCTTCCATGAGATCACCGCCATGGTGAGTCCCCTGGGGATGCCCCACCACCCGCCGGTCCCTTCCTCTCCGCCTGGTCCAGTCCCTTGCACCCCATTAATCACGGCTTCGTGCAGACTGGCGACGGCGTCAACGACGCTCCAGCCCTGAAGAAAGCGGAGATTGGCATCGCCATGGGGTCGGGCACGGCTGTCGCCAAGTCAGCCGCTGAGATGGTGCTCTCCGACGACAACTTCTCCACCATCGTGTCAGCCGTCGAGGAGGGCAGGGCCATTTACAACAACATGAAGCAGTTCATCCGCTATCTCATCTCCTCCAACGTCGGGGAGGTCGTTTGGTGAGAGCCCCCTGCACCGGGCACCACGCTGGGGGGAGCAGCGGTGGGGACACGTCCCCTGGGGCAGGTGATCTGCAGTCCTGTCCGTGTCCCCTGCCCTGGGCAGCATGCGGTGCCCAAAATTGTAACCCCAGGTACCAAACGGAGCAGCTATGCCTCATCTCATTCCCCAGGGATAGGGTTTTTTTTTTCTTTTTATAAACATACTACCCCCAGTTTTGTTACTGCACTACCTATTTAAGCCCATGCCAGCGTCTGCCATGGGTGCAGATATTTGTGCACAGGCTGTTGTCACCAGTTCACACCTGGTTGCATTAGGTCTTGGACAGCTCTCCCTCTCCCTGTCTCCTGCCCATTCCTCCCAGTAAACCAGTGCTGGCCTCAGCAACGTGGGCACAGCCTTGGGGTCACTTGGGCATCCTTTGCCCTTGCGTTTCAGCAGGGGTGTTTGTGCTGGGAATGGGCACCTGTGTGGCCGTGGGGACATCAACAGTCGGGTTTCGACTGCAAAGCGAATTTTAATAGCAACAGGAATGAAACTTAGCTGCAAAATTCAGCCTTGGACTTCACGTTCCTGACTCAGGGGGCTGCAGGTTCATCTGCAGGACTTTGGGTCAATACTCAGTTTGGGGTGTTTGGAGCCAGAGCTCCTACTCGCTCGCCCCTTGCATGACACAGACACTTTCTCTGGCTGCCCCGGAGCTCATCTAATTTGGTATCTCTGTTTTTTTCCCCGCAGCATCTTCCTGACGGCCATCCTGGGCTTGCCCGAGGCCCTCATCCCCGTGCAGCTGCTGTGGGTGAACCTGGTGACGGACGGGCTGCCGGCCACTGCGCTGGGCTTCAACCCCCCCGACCTGGACATCATGGACAAGCTGCCCCGTAACCCCAAGGAGCCCCTCATCAGCGGCTGGCTCTTCTTCCGCTACCTGGCCATCGGAGGTGAGCCCTCGTGGGCGCCAGTGGGCAGAGGATGAGGACGGGCATGGGGTGCCGTGGGGTAAGGGGCTCCTTGCCAGGTGCTGGGGGTAAGGGTGTCTCTCTCGACTGCAGTGTACGTGGGCCTGGCCACGGTGGGCGCAGCGACCTGGTGGTTCCTGTATGATGCCGAGGGACCGCAGGTCTCCTTCCATCAGCTGGTGAGTCAGGAGGGGAATGGGTGCTGAGCAGATGGGTGAGGGCATGGATTCAGGCCCTGGGGTCTTTCCTCTGTCTTTCTTCTGTGGTTATTGTAGCATTCCCAAATTCCTGGAGAAGACAATAATTTAAAATAAAAGCAAATTCTCTCCCTCAGGCTCATGTTTCCAGCCTTGCTTCTGCCAGCAACCAGCATGGCAGGGAAAACTTGATCCAAAGAAGCTGAAAGTAGCTCCTGTACCTGATCCCACATTGAAAGGGATCAATTTTTACATTACTGTAGGTCTGAACAAGATGGCGTTAAAGCGGGTGCCATTGCACCCCAGTGTCATGTGCAATGGAAGATGTATTTTTGCTGGCAATGCGCGTGTGCTCAAATACCTTATTAACGGCACATGAACATCTCTAAGCCACTGTCCAGCCATAACTGCCCAAAGCCCCAACTGCAGCAGAAGCTGGGTCCTTTAGACAGTTTTATCAGTTGCTCTGAACTGCACTCCAAATAATCAAGGTTCGCCATGTGCCCCCAACCAGTCGACCTCTTCCTCCTCTTTCCTGCCTTTCCTACACTGCTGCTCTGCCGTGTATTTACCAGCGGTTTCCTGTGCCGACAGAGGAACTTCATGAGGTGCACCGAGGACAATCCCATCTTTGAAGGAATTGACTGTGAGATCTTCGAGTCCCGATACCCGACCACGATGGCTCTGTCCGCGCTGGTGACAATCGAAATGTGCAATGCCCTGAACAGGTAGGATGGCCGCAGGATCGCTCTATATGCTGTACACATGACTGGTTTCATATAGGGTCTCTTCGAGCATCTGTTGGTGGGCTGAGGGCTTTGCTTTGACTCAGCAGAGCCATTGGGAACATCCTGACAGGGACCGCTGGGCTTGCCAAGGATAAACTCCTTCGAGCCAGTGTGCTGCTGTCGGTAGTGGTCGAGGAACGACTGGATACACATCCGTTAGCAGTTCGGCCCTGGCTGGTTGTGTTGAGATGGGTGTCCAGATCCAAATCACAGCAAAGCCTGAACCATCTGGAAGACAAGTACCCTGTACCTTGGAGAAGAGTGTGAACCCTCAGCTTGGGCAGGCGTGGGGAGCAGGAGGTTATTGGGGTTAATGTTGTCCCCTCTCTTTCACAGTGTCTCTGAGAACCAGTCACTGCTGCGGATGCCACCGTGGCTCAACATCTGGCTGCTGGGGGCCATCGTCATGTCCATGGCTCTGCACTTCCTCATCCTCTACGTCAAGCCCATGCCTGTGAGTGCCCACTGCCACCTCTGCGTGCAGCCCAAGGAGCTCCTCCTGTGGGCGAGAACATCCCTGGAGCAATCTTTGGGTCTGGAAGCTTCTGGGATGGTAGTCCCCAGCGTGTGCCCTCAGGACCAGGTCCTGTGGCTTGAACCAACATGGGGACTGGGAGTCACCCTGCCCCAATGAGCCTTTACCTAAGCTAGAATCTCTCCTTATAGGCAACGCAAAGGGGTGTAGATATCTCCAGAAGGTGGTTCAGCCCCTTTTTTAGAGGCATCACCTCCCTTTGCAGCCCAAGGCTGATGATGCCTCAGTTGATGCCTAAGGGCGCTTAAGATGAAGCAGGTCGCTGTGCCCAGGAGGTTACGTTGCCCCTTGTCCCCTGCTAAGCGCCTGTGAGCACAGGAGCCTACAGTCCTAGCTTGTGCCTCACCTTCCCTGTCTGCAGGAGAGGTGAAGGACGTAATTTTTGACTCATCTTGGCCAAGAGCCACCTTGGGATCATGATAGACCTGGAAGAAATGCTGCTTTTCAGGCTGTCTGGATCCTCCCTCCTTGTACCTGGGATGACCCTTTCTCAACGTGTGCCACACAACAATCTGACCTTTAAAAAACCCAGAAAAGTCCCACCTCCTTCTCTATTGACATGTCCAATCCTTTCTGCCTTGCAGCTCATCTTCCAGGTAACCCCCCTGAGCTGGCCACAGTGGGTGGTTGTAATGAAAATCTCCCTGCCCGTTATCCTGCTGGACGAAGGACTCAAGTACCTTTCCCGCAACCACCTGGACGGTGAGCATGGTCTGCACCACGCTGGGTTATGGCGCTTTGCTTGGGGTTCATGGTGGCTTTGCGGACACCTTGCTCACCTCCTCCGCTTGTGGGGTGTCTGCGCCTGCATGTTCATCCGGCTTTGCTGTGAAAAAGGGATTTTTTTTCTCCTACCCCCATCCTTCCCGGGTGCCACGCCAGGCAGAGCAGTTGGTACTTACGTCTGCTTGAAATACTCCCCTAGGAGCCAGAGCACTAGGTAAACCTGCCACGTGTGTTTATCCAGTTCCTCTTGAACCTCTGGGAGCTGGATGCCTTCTCTTATAAAGCAAAACAAATCTAACACTGGTTTCTAACAGGAATCCTTAATTTTTTTCCCTTGATTTTCCACCCCTCTATGGCCATCCTTATCTTGTATTTTCTACCTCTTATTTTAAGATCAAATGAGAGCTGAATGTGTTACAAACTGTTTTTTAATGGGGTTGCCCTTGGCCGGCACCTCTCAGGATCCATCCGGTGGCGCATGTGGAGGAGAAGCAGCTCCTGTGACACCGGGGTAGCGGCTCCCGTGAGCTCCTGGTCCGTGTGCTGTAAATCACAGCGTGTGTTTCGGCAGCCCTCCAAAGAGATGATATCATCTTCTCTTTCGTTTCTTGCAAAAGATGTTGCTGTGGGTGAGATCTCAGCACTGAGCTGAACCTGCAGGTTCTCCCGGCAGCGGCTGGGGGGGCGGGGCCGGCCAAGCCGGCGGTGGGGGGGCTCTTCAGGAAAACAGAATTGATTCATTTTTAGGTGTGTTTGCCCCAACAGTGATAGCAGGGAGAGGAAGGGCAGGAGGGACACCATCCTTGCCCGGGGAAGATGTAAAGGCCCTGGGGGGTAGATGAGCAACCTGAGTGTGGGGACCGAATGTCCTTCCACAGCATCACCGTCCTCAGATCTTTTTTCTCCCCTTAAGCAACCAACGTCCTAGCAAAACCCTTCCTTTTGCCTTCACCCTTTATTAATGGCCCAAGAAAACCGTGCGAAGCCATTCTGGCATTTCAGGGCTGAAGGCAGGTCCATCCATCCCTGGCAGGGAGGGATTTGGGGCATTGTAACAACCCTGTTTGGTTTCTGACGGAGCTGAACCATGCAAAAAGCTGGAAATACGAGATGGGAAATTACTGCAAGCAGGAAACGATCAGAAACTGGTTGTGCTCCCCGTCACCGGCTCCTGGCGCACTGGAGGTGCTCACGTCAGCTTTCCTTTCTGCGGCGAGCTGATGCATAACCACAGCGATCCTCAGCAAAGCCTCCGCTGAGAAACAGAGTTGCAGGGGCTCCTATTTTTACAGACCAGATAGAAATCGTTTCTAGCTTATTTTTATTTAATTGTTGCATCTCTCAGCAGACCGGTAAGTGATTTGCATCATACGATTACAAGCCTGTAGTGACAATTTTACGGTGTGGCACTGGGCTGGGGCGTAGGAGAGCTGGTTTAATTCCTGGCTGTTGCATCCCGTGCATGCTCTCAGTCTTCACTTCACCATCTGTGATCTGGGGACGAGTCCTTCTTTCTCCCACGCTTTGCATTTCTCTATAAAAACTCAGCGCTGTTGAAGGAAGGGCTTTTCTTTGGCTCTGCCAGCGCAGCTCCGAGCACAGCAGGGTTTCTGGCAGGCGTACGGTCCTTTCGAGTCCCATCATACCAGCTCAGAGTGTTTCCTCCTCCTCCTCCTCCTCCCATGCTGTGCCGGGTCCTCTGAGCTACCCTCATCCCCATGGTCACGGTGGTGCTGATGCTCACAGGTCGCTCTGTGTCTCATCCATCCAGGGTTTCCCATGCAGCTATTCAGTCACGGCTAAGGGGCAAAATCACGCTTAAATCATCCCATTCGAAAGAAATAATTGAAATCCTGCATCTTCCTAATTCCTCTGGACTTTGAAAAGCAAACCAAAAAACCTCAAAAAGCCACTTTTAAATGTGGTATTGTGATTTTTTTACCAGGCATTCTCAGGACGGTAAGACACATGTGGAGCAGGGAGCACCAGTTGAAAACCTGCAGGACTCCAGAGCAAGGGTTGGCTTTCTTACGTGTCTCATCCCCGAACGCCGTATTCCCCTGCTTCCTCCAAAGTCTCGCTTGTGGGGGGGACCTGCTTGGGTCATGTCCGGGTGAACGTGGCTTGGAAAATCAGCCGATAACAGAGCCTAGGGACCCCATACCCAGACAGGGCCTCCTTTCTCACACTGGCCTCTGTGTTTTGCTTCAAAATAAGGTCTAAAAATCCCGTGAAGCAGCCATTTGCGTGGCAGTTTTGGCCAGGGCCAGGCTACTGCTTGGCTTCTGCAAGGCAATGCTTGGGGATGGTCTCCAGCGTGGGATCTTCTGAGGCCAAAATCTGAGGGATGGCCAAGGGTGTTCAGTTGAGGGATGCAAATATCTAGCTGTGAATTCTGCTGATTCAGGTTTTGCACGGAAAATTTTCTCGTTTGACCAGATTTTGATAAGTCGTGTTTCCATTACGTTGGATTTTCTTTGCCCTTGAAGCAGCAGAAAGCTGAGACTTCAGGTTTCGCCGTGGTCTCAGTGTCTTACGTTCCTCTCCCCATCACCCCCGTCACTTCCAGCCTCTCACCTTGCATGCTTTGCACGTATCGCTGCCTTCATCCGTCTCTGGCCCCTCTGAGGTTTCTGCTGTTTCGGTTTTGGGAGGCAATGTGAGCATGAGACAGCGAGCGACAGCACACGGCCGAGCTTGGTTGGCTTGGGGCGACCTGCAGATGTTCTGGTCAGGAACGTGGAGGTGTCCTCCAAGGCCCTCTCGGGTGTCTGTCACACATAGATGCTGGCAGGCTCACAAGGGCAGATGCCCTCAAGGACCTCTTGCCCTAGTATTTTTAATATTTCTTGTCCTCTGTGCATCTAAGTGTGTTGCTTTGAGTCCCGTGGCAGGCAGGAGGAAGGTTCCCAGGCATCTGTGCCGAGACCTTGCAGAATTCTCTTGCCCGAGTGCTTCTCAAAAGGTGCAAAGTCCAGACAGGACACTCGTGCCCCTCTGTGTGCCCTC